TGAAATGTGAGGTTGAGGTAAGGCAAAGCAACAAATACATTTGACGTACTGGGCGTATACCACTAACGAAGTTTTTAACTTACCTTGTAGTGGAACTCGGTGAGCATCGTAAATCCGTTCAGTCCATGAAAAACAACAATCTCGAGTTCATAAGCATAAAGCCAAACAAACAATCCATCAAAAAAGAGAGTACCAATCGACCAAATTATTATTCCATTAGCTGTGAAGATTTTCTTCACCATCTCGTTTCTGCAGCTCTTGATTATTCGAGCGCTATGTTAAAGGCACATTTTGTGAGCAAAGAGTTTGATGAAAACCCGACCAATTTATGTCATACTGTAGCGCTTCCGGGTAGGAAAAAGGCAGGATCAGCTGCCTGTGACTCTTCTGATGCGAAACGTCAAATCAGTAAATGGCACGAGACAGCTGAATGAAGCAAATGCAGTCACAAAACAAATCAACAACGGATCCCATCAGGGTTCCCGAGCGATCACTTGTTTTTGCACGGTGTGACAGCGGTATTTCATTATGAATAGTTGATGCTCCTATACGCAATACCCAATACCCAAACGGAAGCTCATCTGTTTGAGGATGTTTGCTCTTCATGTCCTGGCCAACAAGCGTTAGTCCAGACATAATAAGCAAATATTCTCAGAAAAATACAACTTCGTGCTCAGTCTAGTTGCCGAGTTAACTGAGTGCTAACAGTTCTCAGAACTTCACAAAATATTCCTTTTTGCTCACGGTCGCGGCGCAGTAGTGCTCGCTACAGAATGAAAATGCATAATAAACGGAAAACTTACGAGCAAATGAAGGCGTATCGGTAGAGAAAAGTGGTGAGCGGGAAGAATATGGATAATATAAGAAGTACGCCATATCCGTGGTATAGCACAATACAAAGGGGCACAGAGACTGGCAGCAGCACTGATCGTATCTCTGTCACCATCATTTCACGTTCACTACTCATCGCCTGAACAGTTCAAAACTACAGCAAGTGAGAAAAGGCGGCC